GGACCATGTGACAGATTGTGGGTGTGGGGACAAGATTATGACCTTTCAACTGGGTGGGATTCTGATGTCATTTCCAGAATTGGGATTTCCACACCAATGTGCTAAGATGTCTGCTTTATTAAATTGGAACTTTAAGGATCGTTTTGCCTTGGACTCTGATTTAATTCTACATGATACTTGGAACACTGACATCATCCTTCTGAGGTGGGTAAAATGGGGACCCAGATTGTTGGGGGGCAAGAGGCTGCCTCTGTAAACCGCTTAGAGAGGGCTGTAAAGGACTGTGAAGCGGTTCATAAGTCTATGTAACTGCTATTGCTATCTATTCCTTCAATGAGCAATCCCCAGTCTTTGAATAACATTCTGTGATAGAAAACACAATCCTTTGTATGATACCCTGAGTGGGCTTCCAAATTATATTTTTTTATCATGCGGTTCCATGGCCTTCAGCTGATACCCCTACCCTATAGTTGGGGTGCCAACTATATGTGTCAACATGCCTGCTTTATTAAATTGGAACTTTAAGCATAGTTTTGCCTTCGATTCTGATTGGATTCTACATGGTATTTGGAACGCTGACAGTACACCGTTTGTGGCGTTACATTTGACTATAATTGTACAGATGCTGTTAAAATTGATGTGGCTTTCTGGAAGTATATGTTATTCTCTGCTATTTAAAAGAAGATACAATAGCACTGGGCCTCTTCAGATCAAGCATTGATTTTAAAAAGCTTCATTTTGTTAAGCTGTTTCGAACAATAATAAAGCAGTCTTTAAAAAATAAGACTAATGATTTGAACATTCTATAGGCATTGAGAGTAATTGACTTACCTCCTTGCAGCAAACGGCAAACAGCCTGATTAGCACAAGAAAAAAAAAATCTGCCTCTGTCTCCCAGCAATTTGCCCCTTGCAGCAAACAGCAAATTTCACTTTCAACTTCAGTCTGGGCCTCCCGATGATCAGTTGTTTCAGGCTGCAGGGATTGCCATAGTCTATTGCAGCCTCCGCCTGCCCCATTTTCTCTGTTTGCTGCAAGGAGGCAAATTGCTGGGAGGCAGAGGCCAAAGGGTGGGGGCTGATGGGTGGGCAAGGCTACATTTGGTGTATAAGGCGCACCGAAATTTTCACCCTCTTTGGGGGGAGGAGGGGGGAGTGCATCGTATGTTTTCTGAAAAATGCAGTAGTTTAGTTTACATGCCTGCTTTATTAAATTGGAACTTTAAGCATAATTTTGCCTTCGATTCTGATTTAATTCTACATGGTATTTGGAACACTGACAACAGGGCCAATTATGACCTGGATGATTGAGACAGAGGAACAGAGGAGGCGTAGAGGCATAGAGTGGATATTTGATTTTTGCACTTGCTCCAGTTTGAATTGTAGTGAAGCAAGCAGTAAACTTTTTCAGACAATTTAGGAGGGTTAATCAGCCATTAGCAATAGGACTTGTATACCTCTTCCCAGTGCTTCACAGCCCTCTCTAAGCGGTTTACAGAGTCAGAATATCGTCCCCAACAATCTGGGTCCTCATTTACTACCTCAAGCAGTAGTAAAAAAAAATGAATTTCATCACTGGTCCATATGTGTATTTATTTACTAATTGTTTATTTATTTATTTCTATCCTGCCTTTATTATTTGTACAAATAAGTCAAGACGGCGAGCATATCCCACACGACCTCCTCCCCCCACATTGTCCCCAGAACAACAATCCCGAGAGGTGGGTTGGGCTTAGATAGAGGGACTGGCCCAAAGTCACTCAGCTGCTTTTGATGCCTACATCAGGACTAGAACTCACCATCTCCTGTTGATTGGCCCAAAGTCACCCAGTTGATTGCCTATCTCACCGCTGATTCTGGCAAAATAACAAAAAGACAGCCTCCACCAAGTCCATTATGAGCTCCAGAATACATTAGGCCTTCTCCCATTCTTTTTTTCTCAACAGCCCCTTTTGGATTTTTCCAGAAATTGTCTTAGGTAGGTCTTGAACAAACTCGATCTAACGAAAACAGAATGAAATTGTATTTTTTTAAAAAAATAGAGAAAAAAAAGGCTCTTCGCCATTCAAGGTAATGTAAGACTAGGAATACTACCCTACTTCCCTGAAAATACGACCTCCCCAGATAATAAGCTCAATGGGGCTTTTGAGCGCATGCGCTAAAATAAGCCCTCCCCTGAAAATTAGCCCTCCCTGAAAATATTGCAACACAGCAGCAGCCATGAGGTGACCACGCTCGCCATCTCCTGCACCTCAAAAATAATAAGACCTGCCCGAAAATGTTGCCACACAGCAGCAGCCATGAGGGGACCATGCTCGCCATCTCCTGCACCTCAAAAATTATAAGACCTCCCCGAAAATATTGCCTCACAGCAGCAGCCATGAGGGGACCATGCTCACAATCTCCTGCACCTCAAAAATTATAAGACCTCCCCGAAAATATTGCCACACAGCAGCAGCCATGAGGGGACCACGCTCGCCATCTCCTGCACCTCAAAAATTATAAGACCTCCCCGAAAATATTGCCACACAGCAGCAGCCATGAAGGGACCACGCTCGCCATCTCCTGCACCTCAAAAATTATAAGACCTCCCCGAAAATATTGCCACACAGCAGCAGCCATGAAAG